ACAGGTTGGGGATAGGGCTTCATCCGGCAGGGGCGGTGCTTCGGCCGACGGGGCATGGCTTTGGCCGGCGGGGCGTGCTGGGGTGAGGCTGGGGAATGCCTCACCCGGAACAAGAGGTACCGCACGTCACTGATCCTAATATATACCTATGTTATTTCTGGCCTCTGTTCACACCAGTGCAGCCCGTTACAGACCAGAAAAATGCTGCATGTCTCATTTGGTTTGGTCTGAAATGTACTGGAACTGCGGGCAGGTTCACCCCTGTGTGAACCTGCCCTCATACTGTCTTTATTGGGCATCAAGTCAAATTCAATTTCTGGGTTCACATACACACATTAAACAGACAATGGACACAGATGTGTCCATCTGCTGTAAATGCGAACGTTTGAGTACCTCAATGACTTCTCATCTCCCTTCCATTCATTGGCCTTTGTTATTGTATGACATACCTGTTATACCTCTCAACTGTTCATCATTTGTATCCTTCTGTTCCTCTTTCCTCCTCAGTTGTCCTTTTTTTTTGTCTGATGTACAGATATCTATGAAAAGGTTCTATTTACCTACCAAAACCTATTATCTTGTTTGCTGTTTTGAAAAGACAGTATGAAGGAAAAGTAAAGGAAGAAAACAACAATTCTGGGTTTTACCATTTATTTTTGGCATATAAATTAATAAAGGTCTGCATTAGGGGGGCTTTCACATAGCCTAAAAACATTGGGGGAATTCATAAAGAGTGTCTGTGCCACTCTTTAGAATCCTGTCGTGCATCCACACAACAAATGTCTGTGCTTGCCCACAATTTATGTAGCTGTTGAAAACAGTTACATGAATTTGGCAAAAGCACCTTTTATTTGTGGTGCTCATACTGCAGTAATGCTGAGCCCGATAAAATCACAAGCTCAATGCTCTCCACCCGGCCACTGCACCTGTCGTACAAAAAGGCTCATTGGTTGAGGACTTATATAGTGGGTGGGTGCAGTCTGACGGAGATGCTAAGGTACTAGTTCCATCAGGTCCGTTCTGCTGCTGATTGACAGCAGGCAGAGGGCGGTTTCCAAAGCCAATAGCAGGCTGGCTATTGGCTGAAGACTCTCCCCACTCTTTGCTGTTAATCAGTAGCAGAACGGACCTGATGGGGAACCAGTACCTCAGCATCCCCATTAGACTCCCCCCACTTGTAGTGTCACTGGTTGTTAAGGATGCTGTTGGCTACAGCCACAGCCACCAGCTTCCTTCACAACCACTGTTGCTGACAGTGTGGCCGAAGCCTGTCAAGAAGCTAACATTAAAACATATCATAGGTGGTTGTACAACAGCAGCATCTATCTATGTGTGTGGCTGTTGTGTCACCCTGACACATGATAGAGTGCTTTGGATTAGTTTTGTGCACCACCAGATTCAGTGACACTGGACTGCTTTACTAAAAATCTCCTCCACTTTAACAGTATCATGCATGAGAAAATAATTTCTTTCTATTTTCACTACATAGCTTGGATGTGTGTAATCCATTGTTGTGATGATATTATGGAATCTTATTGATCTAGTGTAAAGTCATGCAATTGAGAGCTAAAAACATCCATGCAGACTACACCTTGGGCGGGGTTTCGCTGGGGAAAACGGAGATGGAGAAAGATCTTGGGGCCCTTATAGACCACAGACTCAGCATAAGCATTCAATGCCAATCTGCAGCTAATAAAGCCAGTACTATATTATCTTGCATTAAAAGTGGGATTTATTCATGGTAAAGAATATAATTTTGCCACTTTACATAACACTAAGTATGCTGTATAATTTTGGTCACCTATACTTAGGTGAGATGTCCATGAGCTAGAAAGAGTTCAGAGAAGGGCAACCAAATTAATAAGGGGGATGGGGGGAGGTCTGCGCTATCAAGGACGCCTGCAACAATTTGAATTGTTCTCCATAAGATGAGAACAGTTCACTTAAAGGAGAACTATGAGGTAAGTGCTTTTCACTCACCTCATAGTTCTAGCCGACCTGTGACAATGAGACTGTCACAGGTCGGCTCAGTAGATCGGGAGGTGAGCGAACACATACCGTTAGGGGGGCTTTCACATAGCCTAAAAACATTGGGGGAATTCATAAAGAGTGTCTGTGCCACTCTTTAGAATCCTGTCGTGCATCCACACAACAAATGTCTGTGCTTGCCCACAATTTATGTAGCTGTTGAAAACAGTTACATGAATTTGGCAAAAGCACCTTTTATTTGTGGTGCTCATACTGCAGTAATGCTGAGCCCGATAAAATCACAAGCTCAATGCTCTCCACCCGGCCACTGCACCTGTCGTACAAAAAGGCTCATTGGTTGAGGACTTATATAGTGGGTGGGTGCAGTCTGACGGAGATGCTAAGGTACTAGTTCCATCAGGTCCGTTCTGCTGCTGATTGACAGCAGGCAGAGGGCGGTTTCCAAAGCCAATAGCAGGCTGGCTATTGGCTGAAGACTCTCCCCACTCTTTGCTGTTAATCAGTAGCAGAACGGACCTGATGGGGAACCAGTACCTCAGCATCCCCATTAGACTCCCCCCACTTGTAGTGTCACTGGTTGTTAAGGATGCTGTTGGCTACAGCCACAGCCACCAGCTTCCTTCACAACCACTGTTGCTGACAGTGTGGCCGAAGCCTGTCAAGAAGCTAACATTAAAACATATCATAGGTGGTTGTACAACAGCAGCATCTATCTATGTGTGTGGCTGTTGTGTCACCCTGACACATGATAGAGTGCTTTGGATTAGTTTTGTGCACCACCAGATTCAGTGACACTGGACTGCTTTACTAAAAATCTCCTCCACTTTAACAGTATCATGCATGAGAAAATAATTTCTTTCTATTTTCACTACATAGCTTGGATGTGTGTAATCCATTGTTGTGATGATATTATGGAATCTTATTGATCTAGTGTAAAGTCATGCAATTGAGAGCTAAAAACATCCATGCAGACTACACCTTGGGCGGGGTTTCGCTGGGGAAAACGGAGATGGAGAAAGATCTTGGGGCCCTTATAGACCACAGACTCAGCATAAGCATTCAATGCCAATCTGCAGCTAATAAAGCCAGTACTATATTATCTTGCATTAAAAGTGGGATTTATTCATGGTAAAGAATATAATTTTGCCACTTTACATAACACTAAGTATGCTGTATAATTTTGGTCACCTATACTTAGGTGAGATGTCCATGAGCTAGAAAGAGTTCAGAGAAGGGCAACCAAATTAATAAGGGGGATGGGGGGAGGTCTGCGCTATCAAGGACGCCTGCAACAATTTGAATTGTTCTCCATAAGATGAGAACAGTTCACTTAAAGGAGAACTATGAGGTAAGTGCTTTTCACTCACCTCATAGTTCTAGCCGACCTGTGACAATGAGACTGTCACAGGTCGGCTCAGTAGATCGGGAGGTGAGCGAACACATACCGGCGTTCCCTCACCTCTCGATCCTGTCACGTCTCTCTGCCGTGACGGGGGAGGGGCTGGATTCCCCCCTCCTCACTCTGATCCGCCAGCGCTGAGTGGCCGAACGGACGGGGGAGGGGGCAGGTACAGCTGGCTCTGCCTCTAGATAGGCAGAGCCAGCTGTCAGTCACGCAGCTGGGCGAATCCCGTCACAATTGTCAGTATCCGCTTCAGGTGCGGCATCTCAGTATACTGCGAGCTACAGCTCGCGGTATACTGAGCCTAGGGTGATGGGAGGGCGCTAGTTTGTGTCCTCCCATTACCCCAAGGAGAACAAAAAAATCATCAATGGGGACAGCAGTACTGGAAATGCACTACCTAAACCAAGAACCTCGAGGAAGACACGAGGGCACAACAAGAAGTTGGAAGGGATAAGGTATAATCGTAAACTGCGTAAGGGGTATTTTACTTTGAGAGTGGTAAAAATTTGGAATTCACTTCCACAGATAGTTATATCAGTGGGAAACATAGACTGCTTCAAAAACACTTGGATGAGTTCCTCGGTTCACACATACACACAATATATAGCTTGAACCTGATGGACCTATGTCTGTATTCAACCTCACGTTCTATGTAACTATGTAGTGGGCAAGAGGGGATAGATTCACCTCTTAAAGGTGGAGGGACCTCACTGATCCACCCTGTCATGACGAGGTTAACCCCTCTGTTCCCTGTTCCTGGTGCAGATATGCTGCCATCTGGTAGCTAGACAGATCAGGTAGTCTTCAGATGTACAGGCCCTGGAGGAGACTGAGTTACACATGAGGGTTTTGGAAGAATGAGGTCAGGAAGGTTTTTTTTTTTTAATGTGAGGACCTGTCTTCAGAGAGTGGGCATAGCCCTGGAGCCTTGTGCATATACATTTATTATTAATACGTGTCATGTTTTTCTGGCTGTCTGGAGTGTGTTCGGTTTTTTGTGCCTCTGACAGCACAATGAAATATTTATTCTTATAAATATTATAAATCTCTCTCTCATACTTAATGCAGAGTTTTGTATCCCGAGCTTACCTTTGTTTATAGGTTTTTCCTCAGTATGGGAACAGGGGGAATCAATGTTTCTATGTTGTTGTAGTTATAAATTATGTTGCATGTTCCAGTTACAACCCTAGATAGACCTGTAAACAAGAGAACATAAATAGAGCGATGGAGAGAGATGGAACCGCTCCTGGGCTGTCATAAACCCCAACATCTGTAGGTGACGGCACTCTATTACTCTCTATTGTTGGCATTTCATGTTGAGGAGATATTTACTGCATCATCATGGGCTACTAGACAAATATGTATACCAAAATAATGCGACACCTAATCTCATATATTCTAAGCAATGCAATCCTCCTGTAAATCTGCCAAATTGATGTTTTTGCTTGGCTTCTGCTTGGTATATTTTCAAGCTTTTCTATGTGATTAAGAGTAATATATTTTATTCTCTTTGACTACTGTATCTGTAATTGTATGCCTCATATTTTGCTATGTGATAATAATTGCTTTCTTTCTTTTTTCTGGCTGCTTCCTGTGGATCCCACAGAGCTACTGCCCTCCCCAACAGGTACTGTCACCTGCGTCTCTTGTGTGTCTAACATATGAGTGTATACATCTCATTCATACATCTGCTGCATTGTCTGTAACCTCGCTATTGTAGTCACGCTGCCTGCTGCTGTCACCAGTGTTGTATGTAGCACATCAGGGCCTTTACTCTGCAGGTAAGATGGTACCTGATTTGGTCACATGTATGGAGAAAATATCACCCATTTGAATATAGTGACTGTCATACTGCTTGCAGAGCTGCTAACCATAACATGCAGTATATTGCTGCTATCCTAATATATTCTAACTTTGCATATATTTATATATCTATAAATTGTGTACATAAAAGGCATTATTAAGAGTATTGGATAACCCACATTTAACAAAGAGATAATCTGTTTTAATTTACAACAATCCGATTTTACCCATCATTCTTTAAGAGGAGCCAGAAAAATGAAAGTGAAATTATGAGTAGTTTCTTTGTGATATTGTAAATTACTTTTCAAATTAATAGATCAGTGTCCCTGTTGATGATGTTGTCTTGGTATAGTTGGTTCCGGCCTCCTTATAGTCAAGTAGTGGCCAGTGAAAAATCCTCAAAGCTCCACTACAGCAATCACAACGATCATTTTGTGTCAGTCACATATACTGTTATAGATGGAATCTGTCTTGATGGTTGAAGTTTTTCATGGATGAAAAGTGTATTCAGCAAATCAATAAACTAAAAAGGCATAACAATACACTAAGACTCTTGCACCTTGTTCATTGTCTGAGGTATCATTGTCTACTTATGATTTATTAATTCGCAACAATATCACAATAAACAGAAATTTGATCTCTGCTTAACAGCTGAAAATCAATGGTGAAAATGGATCTGGTTTCTCTGTCATGTCCCAGGGTCTGCCTGTGATCTGTCTGTTTCATTTAATATGTGTTACATATTATTGAAGTTGGCAATGTTCAGTCCAGGCTGTACTGGGATACCACACAGGCTGCCTTCTAATTTCAATACACCTCTGGGTATTAAAGTCACATTCCCCCCCACCCGCCCCTCGACGTCAATGCTGCTTTAAGGACTTACATTAAATGATGCCTCTTGATCTGATCATCTTCTTCTTTCCGGTAGTTTTCAGGAGTCTCTCCAGTGCTGGTGCCAGTCTCTGACCCAGCGCAGACTCCTCAGGCCCCACGGTGTCTGTCCGCGTGTACGCTGCCGGCTGCGTGCATTGACTTACCCTGTGTCTCTCCTATTCTCCTGGCTGAAGATCTCTACTGCGCATGCGCCCGCCCCTTGATCCTTGACAGCCTCTCGAGAATCTTCAGATTTTCGGACGGGAGAGAGCGGCAGAGACACAGGTACGTTTTTACCTATTTGGTAACTGTTTATATATTTGTTTAATGTTTTTGCATATATCTACTGCTTGCTAGAAGGTTTAATTGTACTTTAAGTAGAAACAAAATGTGGGGAAAAACACAAAGCTGTAAAATAAATCCCCAGTATTTTTTTTTTTTTTAAATGAATCTAAAAATTTCTTAAGATGTTTGTGATGTAACTTTAACACACCTGTAACTAGCAGTTTTGTCAAACTGTCAGTTGTTTTTCCAAAACTTTGACTCCAAAGCCTGTAGTGTTAGTCTGTGGGATATGACACTATGTGTCCTATAGTTCCTGGGTCTGGGTGCTGATACCAGAGTGGCACATTCTGTTTTCAAGACTATCTTATCAGAACTTGACTTTTCCAGCAATCCTGGAATAACAATCCTGGAATAATCCTGGCTAATTTCACTTGCAGATATTGACCACAAAAACTGCTATATCGCAGCATTACTTTGGGGTACAATACTATTTACAATGCCAATGGTCCTCCTGCTGCTGGCTGTATAGTTCTTTGTGTCCAGCCTGTCAGTGCCATTTATCTGTATTGGTGCAAATGTAAACATGGGGGAATCAGGATACAATATGTAACAGGAGAAAGCTCTTCATCCTGGGATTGTTTTTATCGCTTTCTGTAGAAATTAAAGAGATCCTGGATGATAGAGATATAGGAGTTGCCATTACTGACTTGTTTTTTGACATTTCAGGCTTCAGCGCTGAATCATCTATCTTCCTTTATTACTTTGGGAATCCTAAACTAGAACAAATATGTGGCCCCAAAGTATTAAACTCTCGACTTGTTTTTCAACAATGAATCTAGATCAAACAAATATACACTGCCCAGCAAAGTGTTTCTTTTAATTAGGAGGAGACAATAGAGTCCAGCAGTATAGAATGTATAGAATATCTTCCGCATCTCCCTCCTTCACACAATTGCTCAGTGTCAGATTAAATAAACTATGAATGTTGTAATTTTCCACCCAGTACAAATGGTGGAAAGCATCAGCTGTTTGGGTCCTGACAGGTGCCATCTACGCTTAGACCGTGTCCTGTTACACAGTATTTTAGTGGCAGGGAATTTCATGATGTAGTATAAATGATTATCCATCAGTAAATGTGGTCTGACACCTCCATAGGGTTTCTGTGAAGTACAGTATGTTTGCTGGGGACAGTCAGAGTGCTATGCACAGAGGAGATATAAATTAGAACTTGGTTGGCCAGATTCAAGTTTTTCATTGGTCCTTTATTGTGTTGGGTAGAGGCCTGTCTAGCTGGATCTATAGAGAATATCTGAATGGGAGAATAAGGGTCTTGGGTATCAACTAAAATGTTTTGTATCAGATTGCTTCCTGTATATAGCGACACATCGCACGCATCCCATGCATCACTGTATCCCAAGCTCCTTGTCTGCATTGTGCTCTCTTTCTGCTTGATTAATCTTAGATTTCCTGGAACAGTGCCTGTTGTTTGAGTAGAGGACCAAATCTCCCAGCTAGCTTGCTTTGTCTCTTTGGGACTCCAGAATTTTTAAAGGGGGTCTCATTCTTCCTGGTGCATTGACCATGATTATAGAAAATCCTTTCATAATTGGTGAGCAGGTGAGAGGAGCTGGGAACTTGGGCAGAGAGAGCTGTATGTTATGTGTCACACGGGGTTATCAAGTTGCTGGTTCTACATGACACATCCTGCTCCCTTCATTAGCGAGTATACCTGATTCTGAATTCATCAGCATTACCCTTTCAGGGCTGAATTGGATTTTTTATGTTACATGCATACTCAGATGTCCTACTTAAATTGCATTTGTGTGTAGACCGCTGCCACAAAACTGTAGGCAGAAATGAAAAGCGGTACCTAAAAGGGGTACTTGCTGGGTATGCTAGGATCCCAAAACCTGGCAAATTCTTTTACGGAAATATCAGATTCTTCTGCTCCTCTATTGGTCCATCACTCTGACAAGCCACCTCTTTTGGCAGTATTGAGTGACAGGAGGGCGTGTGCCTGAGCCTCAGTGACTTTAGTTGCTATTTCTGACCTTCTGTGCCTTTCTACTCTCCATCTCGCTCCACCCCGTTCCCTCTATTCATTCTTTGCTTCCCTCTACCTTCTTCTCTGCCCTTCTCTTCTTCTTTCCTTCTACATCTTCTCATGTATGTGCTGACTCTGTTTTAGGCCAGCTGAAACCCGGACACAGGTTGTGACAATGTCAGGCGGAAAGGGACAACGGGGTCCCGCTGTTCTAACTTGAGTGCATGGAGGAGGCATGGGGCCTGGAGGAACGCTGGAACTCGTGGAGCAAGGAGGTGTCTAATACACAGGGTGCAGAGAACTCTTGAAGGGTACAGGGGTTCTGCTCCAGGCAAATGTGCTGCTCACTATCTCTCCTCACTCTTTCTCCTAGCTCTCTCCCCTAGCTGTCTATCCTTACTCTCTCTCCTGGATGTCTGTCCTCTCTTTTCTTGCTGGCTGTCCACTCTCTCTCCTGGCTGTCTTTCCTCACTCCCTCCTGGCTGTCTGTCTACTCTCTCTCCCCTGGCTGTCCTCACCGTATCCAGGCTGTCTCTCCTCTCTCTCTCCCCTGGCTGTCTCTCCTCTCTCTCCCCTGGCTGTCTCTCCTTGCTTTCTCCTCCTGGCTGTCTCTCCTCCCTCTCCCCTGGCTGTCTCTCCTCTCTCTTCTGGCTATTTCTCCTCTCTCTCTCCCCTGGCTGTCCTCAGTCGTTCTCTTGTCTGTCTCTCCTCACTATCTCCTGGCTGTCTCTCCTTGGTCTCTCTCCTGGCTGTCTCTTCTCTCTCCCTCTCTCATCTCTCTACCCTGGCTCTCTCCACTCTCTCCTGGCTGTCTCTCCTCACTCTCTTCTTGCTGTCTGTTCTCAATATCACCCCTGGCTCTCTCTCCTTACTCTCTCTCTCCTGACCATCTCTCCTCGCTCTCTTCTGGCTATCTCTGGTCACTCATCCTCCTGGCTGTCTCTCCTTGTTCATCTTTCTGGTTGTCCCTACTCACTCTTTCCTGGCTGTCTCTTCTTGGTCTCTCTCCTGGCTGTCTCTCCCCTGGCTGTCCCTCCTCACTCTCTCCCCTGATTGTCTCTCAATCTATCTCTACTAGTTGTCTCTCCTCACTCTCCTGGCCATTTCTCCATGTTCATCCTCCTTGCTGTCTCTCCCCACTCTCTCTCCTGGTTGTCTTTGCTCACTCATCCTCCTGGCTGTCTCTCCTCACTCTCTTAACTGGCTGTCTTTCCTTACTCTCTCCCCTTGCTTTCTCTCCTCGCTCCCTCCCCTGGCTGTGTCTCCTCATTCTCTCTCCTGGCCATTTCTTCTTTCTCATCCTCCTGGCTGTCTCTCCTCTCTCTCTTTGCTCTCCTGGCTGTCTCTCCTTGGTCTCTCTCCTGGCTGTCTCCTCGATCTCTCTCCTGGCTGTCTCTCCTCACTCTCTCTCCTGGCTCTCTCCTCTCTCTCTCTCTCTCATGGCTGTCTCTCCTCTCTCTCTCTCTCTCTCTCTCTCTCCTGGCTGTCTCTCCTCTCTCTCTCTCTCTCTCTC